GGGGGTCCCGGGATCGAACCCACTAGGGGCACTTGCTTAATTTTTCCTTGAGCAAGAATTAACCTGCGATTGGCTTCACTTCACCCAGGTGTAAATGGGGTACCTGCGAGGGTGGTATAATCCGTTGCGCCAAAAGTGTCGGCTGCACTAAGCGGAGTTAAAAGACTCCCCAGGGAGATTGATAGATAGATACCAGTAGCCCGATGACCAGGTGTAATAGCTGTAAAGTCGGTGAACGTGCGTAAGCATGAAACTTAGACTATAAAATGCAATTACAATAGACACTGGATGCCAGACATATGTCACCTTGACTCCTTGATTCTGATAAAGTAAGAAGAACAAGTTTTAGGCATTTTACATTTATTCTCAACAATTTACCTTTAAATGCTTATAAAAAAAGGACAGCATTCTTTAAATGATCCCCCTATTATAATTTCCATTTGTTTAGACCCTGCCATAAAGATGCCTAACATTTCAGTTTGACTCTCCTATTTATGCTTCATCTTTAAAGATACAAAATGTACTTAAGTCACATTTATAACCAAAAGGTAAAACTTCAAACAAATTTGGAGGCCATGGACAATATCTTAGTGAAGTCTCCTTCCTTTCCACGCAGACAAGAAGGTATTGGAGCACGTATCCTTGTCCCTGTTGGGATTCCATTCTCTTCAATTAGAACTATATTGTTTGTGTCAAATCTTGGAACATTTGGTTTCTGTTTTTGTACACAGCCAACAATGTAAGCTTTCTTCATTTCACCCATAATTGTAACTTTTACCATGTCGCCTATCCTTCCTATTGATGTTTTATTATAAACATGAATTATTTTCACTTTTTTGCCTGCCAATACTGCTTTACGTCCCATCATGCTATTGTCAACAACTTTCACTGTAGACAGTTTTTGAAGTTCCTTCAGACAACATGATGTGCTATAATAAACATAAAGTTAATAGTTATATTGACATTATAACTGTATATGAGGGCCATGATGGCCCAGATCTAATTGTTAATGTTAATAATAACTTTTTTTAAGCATATACTTTACAAATGTTTTAAGTACATACTTTGATTTATTACATATACATCTTTTGAACTAAAACTTGAATTTGCAAGATATTTTGTAAAAAAAAATCAACCCATTATTATTTTTATTGTTGTAGTTTTTAGATAATAAAAATCCCTAAATGTTGCTCTACTTTGTAGCATGTTACAACTACTGAGTAGCAAGAGACAAAAAAATTTCATTGACCAAACTGGTCATAAATCAGTCAACACAAGAGCCCGGTTTGAGCCGGGTGATGCTCCCCGAATAGGTTTTGGACACAGGAAAGTACACCTCTTGTAGTTTCAGAGTTTTGTCCCTGGAAAAAGTTCAGGCAATAATTCCAAAATTAGGCAAGGCAGAGTTACTGTTCTTTGCACTGCACTTCTAATCAATGTGATCTATCAACCTACAAAGTTTCTTGATGATATCTCTTATGATTTCCGAGTTATGTCACGGACAACTTCAAAAAGTAACAAGAACTGTCGGAGGACAGTAACGCTCGACTATTCGAAAATTTGTCACAAGGGTGTTTCATTGAGTATAATAATGCTTACCTATATGAATACATAAAATTTTACGAAAAGGTACAAACCCTTCAAGTTTCAATACAATCACAGAGAACAAGTCTGTGAAGTTTCAATCCATTCCCTTCAGTAGTTATGGAGATACAAGCTTACACACAAAAACTTAACCACGAATTTATGAATCGAAAAAGGGGAATAATTATGCGAAAAAGTATATCAGAGTTATGGCACTTGTGCCAATCATCTTAAATAATCACAGAGAACAAGTGTGTGAAGTTTCAATCCATTCCCTTCAGTAGTTATGGAGATACCAGCTTACACGCAAAAACTTAACCAAGAATTTCTAAGATAAAAAAGTGGCATAATTATGCAAAAAAGCAAATCAGAGTTATGGGACTTGTGCCAATCATCTTAGATAATCACAGAGACCAAGTGTGTGAAGTTTCAATCCATTCCCTTCAGTAGTTATGGAGATACCAGCTTACACGCAAAAACTTAACCAAGAATTTCTAAGTCGAAAAAGGGGCATTTTTATGTAAAAAAGCAAATCAGAGTTATGGGACTTGTGCCAATCATCTTAGATAATCACAGAGAACAAGTGTGTGAAGTTTCAATCCATTCCCTTCAGTAGTTATGGAGATACCTGCTTACATACAAAAACTTAACCAATAATTTCTAAGTCTAAAAAGGGGCATAATTATGTAAAAAAGCAAATCAGAGTTATGGGACTTGAGCCAATCATCTAAGATAATCACAGAGAACAAGTGTGTGAAGTTTCAATCCATTCCCTTCAGTAGTTATGGAGATACCAGCTTACATACAAAAACTTAACCACAAATTTCTAAGTCTAAAAAAGGGGCATAATTATGTAAAAAAGCAAATCAGAGTTATGGGACTTGTGCCAATCATCTTAGATAATCACAGAGAACAAGTGTGTGAAGTTTCAATCCATTCCCTTCAATAGTTATGGAGACACCAGCTTACATACAAAAACTTAACCAAGAATTTCTAAGTCGAAAAAGGGGCATAATTATGTAAAAAAGCAAATCAGAGTTATGGGACTTGTGCCAATCATCTTAGATAATCACAGAGAACAAGTGTGTGAAGTTTCAATCCATTCCCTTCAGTAGTTATGGAGATACCAGCTTACATACAAAAACTTAACCACAGGGACGCCGACGCCGACAAATGGGTGACTGCATTAGCTCAATTATTCTACAAATAGTCGAGCTAAAAATAAACAAAGGGCAATAATTCAAAAAATATGCAAGGCAGTTACGTTTCTTGTGCATTGCACACCTACTCAATGAGATCTATCTACCTACATAGTTTCATGTTGATACCTCTTGTTGTTTTAAAGTTATGTCCTGGACAAGATTTTTCTAAAAGGGGGAAATAATTCAAAAATGAGGCTTAACAGAGTTATGGTTCTTTTGCATTGCACCTCTACTCAATGAGATCTATCTACCTACAATGTTTCATCTTGATATCTTCTTATAGTTTTTAGAGTTATGTTCCGGACAAAGTTCAAAGTGTTAAAATTAACAAAGGGCAATTACTCCAAAATTAGGACAAAAAGAGTTATTGTTCTTATGCACTGCACATCTACCCATTGAGATCTATTCACCTACAAAGTTTCATGTTGATATCCCTTATAGTTTTAGAGTTATGCCCCGGACAAGATTTTTCTATAAGGGGAGATAATTCTAAAACTGGGCAAAATAGAGTTATGGTTCTTTGACACTGCACTCCCCCTCAATGCCCCCTTACCACTGTATGAAGTTTCAAGAAATTATCTCCAAGGGTTTTCAAGTTATGCTCCGGACAAGACAACGGACGGACAAGGCGCCGACTATATGCTCCCCCGAAATTTTTCGGGGAGCATAAAAAACCACCGTCAGGCAGTGGCAACCCTCAACTTTTCTACTTTTTCATTAAGCAAATAAATAAAAACAAAGTTAAAACAAGATTGCATTTGAGAAAAATGCTATGCCACCGCATTAATACAACACTAAATAGTAGTGTAGGAACAGATTTTTTTTGTTTCTATACAATTTTGAAGATTGTCATAATGCATAGATCCCTGACCTATCTAATTCTTATTATCAGATTAGTGGTTAAATCTGTTGTTAACTCAATAAAAGATCAGAGTAGGAATATATCAATGCACTTGAGTCTAGTGAATTTGATGGGCATATTTCACACAGCCTAAATTTCATGACTACATCAAAGGACAACACAGTCAGACACTTTTTCAAAATCTAGGTCAGCTGAAATCAAAGTTCACTTAACATCTTAATCTGTACACATGGTTCAATTTTTATAGCTGTACATAAAAGGACAAGAAAGTAGGTCACATCATCAAAATCTAGGTCACCTGATATCAAAGTTCAATTTTACAACTAAAACTGTGCACATGGTCAAAATTTCATTGCTGTACATCAAAGGACAAGAAAGTAGGTCACTGTCCCGTTGGGCAAGGCAAAATTTTGGACACAAGGGTTTAATTCAAAACAATCTTGATACAGGTCCACCAAACAACATTTCAAGTCAAATATCTAAGCTGTAGCTTTCTCCCATTCAGAAAAGATTTGTTTTATTCTCTGTTTTTACTATGTGAACATAATGAGAATCACAATTTTAACACTAGGGGCATAATTACAACAACTTTAGTAGAGAACCCATAGATGATATTATATAGCAAACATCAAAGCTCTATGCCTTGTACCTTCAGACAAAAATATTTTTTATTTTTTTACTATATGTACATAGTGAAAATCAATGACTCCTGGGGGTGGGGCCAATTTTGACCCCAGGGCTATAATGTGTACAATCTTGCTAGAGGTTCACTACATAATATGTTTCATGCAAAATATCTTAACTCTAGCCTTTGTAAATTTAGAGAAGATGATTTTTTAAGTTTTTACTAAATACATATAAGGAAAACCTATGGCCCACGTGGCGGGGCTAATTTTGACACAAGAGGCAAAATTTGAACAACTTTGGTAGAGTACCTATAGATGATATCATTTAACAAATATTCAAGCTCTAAGCCTTGTACCTTCAGACAAAGATTTTTTGATTTTTTACTATACATGTATGTATATATTGAAAATCAATGACCCCCGGGGCAGGGGCAATTTTGACCCCAGGGCTATAATTTGAAGAATTGCAAGAAGTTCACTTCACAATGTTTCATGCAAAATATCTAACCTCTAGCATTTGTCAATTGCTAGAAGAATTTTTTTTACTTTATACATAAAACCAATGACCCCCGGGGCAGGGCCGATTTTGACCCCAGGGCTATAATTTGAACAATCTGAATAGAGGTCTACCAGACAATGCCTTATGCAAAATATCTAAGCTCTAGGCCTTTTGGGTCTTTACAAGAAGGTATTTTAAGTTTTTACTATATGTACATATAGTGAAAATCAATGACCCCCAGGGCGGGGCCAATTTTGACCCCAGGGCTATAATTTGAACAATCTTGGTAATGGTCTATAAGACAATGCCTTATGCAAAATATCTAAGCTCTAGGCCTTTTGGGTCTTTACAAGAAGATTTTTTAAATTTATTCTTATAATTCCTTTTGGTTGCCATGGCAACCAGATTTCTGCATGGAATGAAATTCTTTGAACAACTTTGGAAGCCCTTCACCCAAGGATCAATCCTGCCAAGTTTGGTTGAAATTGGACAAGTGGTTTTTCAGAAGAAGATTTTTTAAGTTCACTATATAATCTATATAACACACACACACACAAACAAACACACACACACACAGGTGAATCGCTATATGCCACCGCATCGCAGATGCTGCGGTGGCATAAAAACATAAGCAAAATTCAATCATTGGACCATCAAGGTCATTTAAAGGTCAAGGGCATATCTAAATTATTCATCATGTTGAATTTTACCAAAATTCAATAATTTCACCTTCATGGTCAAAGTCATTTAAAGGTCAAGGTCAGTTCAACCTTTCATTAAGTCTTGTCCAAAGAATTTTTTTCTCTCCAAGAATAGAGATAATCCATTGAAACAGCACCAAGTTTCAGTCATTTATAGCAAAAAAATCACTGAAAATTCAATAATTTTACTGTCAATGTCATTACTAATTCAAGGTCTATTTGATTTTGATATACATAAAGGTACTGATGTTGTGTCTAAATAATAAAGTTAATCCATTTATAAATAACAAAGTTATAGCCAGTTAAGTAAAATAACCAGAATTTCGATACTTGGACCTTGACAGTCAAGATCAATTAAAGGTCAAATTAAATATTGTTGTTTGGTAGCAAGTCTTCGTATGTCCAATTATAAATAAAATCCGTACATAAATAACAAAACTATTACAATGTAACCAGAATCCAGTAATTTGACCTTATCAGTCTAGGTCATTTAAAGGCCAGGGTCAAGGTCAATTCAAACTTTCATTAAGTCTTGTCCAAAAGATTTTGTCCAAGTATGAAGATAATCTATTGATAAATTACCAAGTTAGAGTCAATTATAGCAAAAATCAGTGAAAATTCAATAATTTAACCTTAAAGGTCAATGAGCTTAGGTTAATTTGAGTTTGATATACATGAATGTCCTGACATACAAGATGTTTTGTTTAACATGACATCAATCCATTCATTAAACACAAAGTTATAGCCAGTTAAAGCAAAAATAAGAAAATTGTAATAATTTGACCTTCAAGGTCAAGGTCATTTATGAGTGAAGGTTAAGGTCTGTCTGGTTAACTTGAAGGTCTATCCTAAAAGATTGTTGTGTTCATAACAATCCGTTCTAAAATAACAAAGTGATAGCCACTGATACATGTAGCAAAAATTAATCAAAATTAACACCTTTGACAGAATAATTATGAATGATGGTCAAATTTAAACTGATATACTTGAAGGTCTTGTCCCAAGGGTTGTTGTGGCCGAGTATGAAGATAAAACACCAAGAACTTAAAAAGTTATGATCAACGTTAAAGTTTTAGGGACTGCAACAATTTGACCTTCAGGGGAAAGGTCATTATTGAGTGAAGGTCATAATCAATTTGGTCTATTCCAAGGTTCAATATTGAAGCAGGTCTTGCCCTAAGGATTGTTGTGTCCTAGTATGAACTTCTATAATGAAGACAATGCACTGTATAACAAAGTTACAGCCAATTAAAACAAAATAATTTGACCATCAGTGTCATTGATGAGTGAAGGTCATAATCAATTTAGTCTTCTTGAAGGCCTTGTTTTGTCTTAGAATAAAAAACAAAGTTAAAGTCAATTATTGGGAAAATCAAGCAACATTTTATAAGGTCAATGATGGGTGAAGGTCAAGTTCAGTCTGGTCAACTTGAAAGTCTTGTCCAAAGGGTTGTTGTGTTCAAGTATGATTGCAATCCATTGAAAAATAATAAAACTATTGCCAATGTTAAAGTTTTCAGACGGCAACAGCATTGGCAATGACAACATGACTGAAGCAATTGTTCTTTATCCTTCGGAAAGTGGAGTTGATAAATGTACAGTGCTTTCCAAATAAAACAAATGTATACTTGGGCAGCTTTTTAAGAATATAACATTTGTTTACCAGTAAGTGTAATCCACAAATAATCACAAAAGATCTCCCCTGTGATACTTTTCAAATTAAGTACATATACCTGGTAAGGCATTTGGTATTGAACTACCTTCTTTTATTGAAAATAACTTTCTTTGAACATAAATGAACACTATACATACCTTATATTTCGAACTTGTAGATTTGTAGACAGTACCCTTGAAATATTTCTACAAAGGTTCATTTTATCTAAGGCTTTCTCAACAACACTTCTTTCACAGCCCTGAAAAAAAAAATATATTCTAACTTTCCCAAGTGACCATGGCTTTGTGTATTAAGTGATTTTTGCTCAACACAACCAGTGACAGCTAATTTGTCAGCTAATTGCGATCAGTCCTTCTATCAAATCACCACTTTTACCTGTCAAGTCCTTGCATTTTTAAAGAATGCCACCTCCTGCTAACTATCAAAACACAAACCATGTGTGAAAAACTTTAATTTCCAGACTGCTGGCATATGCAACAACAACAACATTTTATTTGCATAAATGTTATAACAACATTATAGCCATAAAGTATATATAATGTTAACAGTGATACAAGTTCAAATATAAAAAGTACATAAAAGTTAGCACGGGAAGTATAAAAAAGAATTTAATTTCTCTGTCTATTACACGATGCAAAATAAACATATTTGCCTAAACCAATTAATTCTTTAGATGACTTTGTTAATAATAAATTTTCAAATTTTTCTTAATGAAGGCCATCTACAGTAATAATGTTTTAAATATTTTATTCCTAATTTCTGTGTGTTGGACAAACCCAAAAGAAAATGATATTCATTTTCGACCATTCGGCATATTACAATTTGTACAAATTCTATCTTGTCTAGGTGCATTTATGTACCGACCAGTTTCTATTTTTAAATCATGTGACGAGGTTCTTAGTCTGCATAAGGTTATTCTAAATTTAGCTTCTGAAATTTCATTTAAATATTTTTCACACACGAAATCATGTTTAAATAGAGAGTATGAGCACAGTTTTGGTGTGTTATTAATGCGTGAATACCACGACTGTGTAAAATTATCGTGTATACGCTGTTTAATTTGTGTCAAATTTATTATGTCAGTATTTTGGTTAAGCCACAAATCAGTCATGCCTAACTGGTTTAACATTTCTCTAATGTTGAATGCCCAATTATTTCCATTATAGGATAAATTATTTTCAGTATCATTTCGGAGCATCCCGGGTGTAGATTTTCCAAGGTTTTTGGCTCAAAATCCTTGGAAAAAAACCTCGGAGTATTGGAACAAGAAAATGCAAAACTTTGCTATTAAAAAAACCTTGGAAAAATAGGGAGAGGGTGAAAAACCTTGTAAAAAATTTCCGAGTTTTTTTTAAAAAAAAACCTCGTAAAAAGTATGACCTCGGAGTATTGGAACGATTTCCAAGGATTTCAGAATAAAAACCTCGTAAAATAATTTCCGAGGATTTTTTTAGAAAACCTTGGAAAATGAGTGAGTCCTCGGAGTATTGGAACGATTTCCAAGGATTTTTAAAGTGTTTCCGTGGTTTGTTTTCCAAGGTTTTTAAATGAAAACCTCGGAAAGTTTCTCACAACTGGGAATACTGTTATATTTTTACGAAAATTCTTACTTAAGGGCATCAGAGAATTTTCCAAAGGTTTATTGAGCAAAAACCTTGGAAATTTCTAGAATATCCATGGAAAATCAGAAAATATAACATCCAATGAAATATTCTGAAAAGAGCAATTATATTGTCCTTTTAAGGAATTAACTTAAAGAAACTTCTTTATAATAATACAGAGCAAAAAATGATCAAATGACTCAATGAAACATTTAATGTCAGTGTGAAGTAAATAGTAATGCACTACAAATGAAAAGTTAAGTTAGTTATAGTCTTTAATGGTAAATATTACAATCAATGTTCAGTTATTATTTTTTGGTATCCGGCTATATTTTAATGTATTCAAATATCTATCTTTTGAATTCCTGTTCACTCTTCATGCTTTTAAAATGTCCCTTAGTTTTTCCCTCACCATCACAGGGGTCACATGTGGAAAATCCTCCAGGATACATTATTCCTGAAATAAATAAAGTTAATATTTAATAAAGTACAGCCATTGAAAGAAGTTAGAAAAAACAATTATATAAAATCACCACTGGGCGCTTCCCTCTCCATTAGGCGCTTCCCTCTCCATGTGGTCAGGATCAAAGACTTCAAACTACTTGCCTTACAACATTGTATTTTTGACTCCTGAAGCCAGGATGGGCTTCTTCCCTCTGAGGGAGCTATCCAGCCCAGGATTAAGGAACACCTGTGGTTATACTCAGGACAGTTCAGTATGTGTAGTCAATCAGAATTACATCATTTAATTTCTTTTTTATTAATCAATAAAAAAAAATGATACGTTCCTTAAACGTTTCCATAGACTAAAATATCAGTTCACTGTTGATATATATTGTTTTAAAAAATCAGCACTTTTGTGAAAAGAAATATATCTTTAGAGTGATCCAAAACTACTTTAATGACAAGTTGTTCAAGACCATTGATTAAAATGAAGGCTTTTATATTTTCAAATGACCTTTTCTGTAGTTATTTTTAAATGTTTGTCTACTGTTTTGAAATAGTGAATTTAATTTTTTTTTTCATGCTGATTTCTTATTTTTCTTCATCAGTACTTAGTGTCAGGATTTCAAGAAAACTTTGGTAAGCAGTGTGACAATTCTGCGATGTTAAGAAAAGAAACGATGTCTGTTACTATTATTTTAGATTATGTCATACTGGATGTTACAACCTAAAGCACTCTAAAAATATTGCAAAAAATAACGCTTTTCATAAGGTGATTCCGATTGCCTACACTAATTGTATCTGTCTGCTCAAAGTGACATCTGCATCAATACAGCTGGAGAGTCATCATGTAACATTAACAGCATTTCCAACAAAGTATCAATAAAAAAATCAGTTCCAGAAACCTTCATTCATTTAAATTTCAAATTGAAACTTTCAAAACCTAGTTTTAAAACAAAAACATACTGTAGTATATTCCTTGAAGCCTTTCCTGGTCTACAGTTGGCTTCCTTAATCGATGCCAATGCCAATGAATAATATGATAAAACACAGCAAAGCTGGATTGCCATCTTCTTGTAGTTTGGAACAGTCTTGCAAACTTGCTTACAAGCTGACTCTGTAATTAAAAATTTGTAGATTCAAATAATAGATGAAAGATGAAAGTTTATATAAATACATTTGTAATGTCATCATAGTTTCATGCTGCAGTCATCTTGTTCAATACAATCATAGACAAAAATAACATTTATACTCATAAAATATCCTCTAAACAATTGTATTTAAACTAGCTTACATTTAGGTTAAAAATATAGATCTAAAATAGTTTGTATTTAATACTTATTTGAAAAAAAAACAACAACAGATTTTATGCAAAAATGTATCTAAAATTATTTACCTGAACCTTTTTACTATCATGTTTCTTTTGTTTATCTTCCTGTCCCAGGTCATTAATCTTTAGGTTCAATTACAACAACCAAACATTTCCTGAATCTTGTCACACTTAGATAAATGTTTTCTTTGAAAATTCCAAAATATGCTCCCTAACATTTAAAACAAGATATCTCCAAAATTGCTTAAAAATAAATCCAGGTTTTGCACTATTTCCAACTATAACCACTTGACCCATTAATGTCTGAGATTCAAATTTTTCAACAGTATAACTGAAGGGGCAATCATAATGTGAAACAGGGGTGATCCAAAAATATCAAAGCCATCATCATTTTATTTTTGCATTAATTTTATTAAAGGTACAAATATATCAAATGATAAATAAAAGTAAAACTTGAAAATTATAAGAGAATCACAGTTGCAGTGTCATTTTAGACTGTTTTGGATTGTATAAAAACCCAGACTCCCCCTGAATAATCACATGGAACATTCTGGTCTATCCCAGAATGCTCAATGAGAAGATTGATCATGCATAAGATAGAGGGAACCACCTGGGGTGCCATTAGTTTTATCTGATCAGTGTGTTATATTCTGTGTGTGAAAACTTAGTGGATGCAGTATTTATTTATCTTAATTATAAGAAAGTATCAAGCATACATATTTTACACATTAATTGTACATAATTATATATTAAAAGGACAATTAATAACTATTTATGTTTATTGTACACATAATTAATGGCAGAGTAAATTGTAATCTGAATGTATGTCACAGACTTGCTTAGTAGAAATATACTATTTTATATGGCAATAAAAACATATATTAAAGATTAATAGCATTCTTATTTCAGTGTTGCTTACAGGCTGTCAAGAAACCCTAAGTTAAGTCTATATATAGAAAGAAACTGCAGGAAAAATACTGATGCATTTGGAAACTAATAGACAAAAACACTGATTGTTTCTTTTAGTATAATTATAAGTTTTGCTCTTTTATCTATTCTTAAAAATGGAGGAGATATCTAGTAACAATTATTATAAATAATAAAAAAAAAATATGAAAATAAAAAAAATAAAATTTTCAAGTTTTTCTGATCATCAGTTATTTGAATAATCTTTAAATCTTATTATGATAAGTTTACAATACCTTTATGGCCATTAATAAAAGGTATTTTTTATGGCAACAAGGAATTTACATGTATTTAACTTTTTTCCATGTTTTTACACTTAAATTTTTTTAATTGATTCCTCCCACAAAAATGGCTTCAGAAGATTAAAGTACAAATTTATTGAAAAGGAAGTTGGCCATTGACAATGTCCATACTAAAAATTGATTCCCTGGACCAAATCTCTCCTTTCCATGCTGTTGGACAATTGTTTGCTCTGACTAGTGATGGAAATTGGATGAAATTTGTCCCAATCGATCATCGGTTCAATCGGATGGGCCATAATCGATAACTTTTCGAATAAAGTCGCGTTAAAAAGAAATAGGGAAGAAACATTTCTTCCAAAGGCACTTGATTATATTCAGTTACATGAACTTAATTTAGCACGTTTTAACAAAGTTTTCACCTTATATAGTCATAATTTTACGACATAGATTTTATTTTTCAATGGATGTCAAATGATAACCTCCACATCACATTATATTACTATTGTTTACATCACGTATTGATCCAATTCAACACCAAATTGTCTCCGATATTATTTTTTGCAATCGGCAAAGAAAATTACCGTCAGAATTAATTCCCTTTGATACCTTAAACATTTTCGACGATGTCGCAGAACAAATTTTTGTGAATCGATTATTGTCGTTTGACATAACAGAAACTGATTATTGGCAACCTGCGACAATCGGAATATCACTAGCTCTGACCATGGATTAAAAAATATCCATTGGCAATCTACAGTTGGGTTGTTATCTTAGTTTGCTTTAACTGTTGATTATTGCTTTTGATGCCCATTATAAGTTAAATCATGATTATGTCTTAACATTTTCCGAGATGAAATTTAGTTAAGTTCAATTATCCGAGGTCATTTCCAAGCTAAATATTGGCAAAGTGTTTCCAACAAATTTTACGTAAATTTTTTAAGTTCTTTTCCGAGCAAAAAAATGACAAAGTTCTTATTTCCAAGCTTTTTCCGAGCTGATTTTTGGCAGAGTGTTTAATTCCGAGATAGTTTCCAAGGTTTTCTTTATTTCCAAGGATTTTTATACAAAAACCTTGGATAAAAATTCCAAGGTTTTAAAAAAAAACTCGGAATTAAGAAAAAACCTTGTAAAACTGGTTTATTTCCAAGGTTTTTGAAGCAGTTTCCATGGTTTTTTTCATAAACCTCGGAAAATCTACACCCGGGATATTGTATATTAACTTTATGATATGGTTATCGGGTGATTTTAGAATTTTTACCCAAAATTTAAGAATAATTGACTTTCGAATAACTTTCATCGGTAATCTACCCAATTCTCCGTATAGACAGTCTAAGTTAGTAGATTGTTTTACTCCTAATATTTTTCTACAAAATTTAGTATGATTTTTTCTCAATATTTGGACCGTCATGAAAGCCCCATACTTCTGCAGAATAATTTTAACACTGGCGCTACTAAAAGCTATCGAATAATTTGCATTTATCTTTAATGGGTAAATCTATTTGATTAATAACAATGAATAAATTATGCATAGAGTAAGCTGCATGTTGTGCTAATCGTTTTTGAGTTCTGTTCCAGTTGTTATTTTTAAACAGATGTGTTTCCTAGGTATTTAAATGATGTAACGATTTCAATTTCAGTGTTATTAAAGATAGAATTTATAACTAGTATGGCGACCCTTTTCGAAAAAATCATTGCCTTTTGTTTTTTTGGAGTTAATCGTTAATCCCCATGTGTTACAGTAATTTTGTAAATCATTGAGCATACTTTGCAGTGTTGCGGGATCTTGTGCGAACAGTACTGCGTCGTCCGCGAAACATGAGTAAAAAAAATTTGACATCTTTCTATTGTAAAATATACCATTTATATTTTGTATTTATATTTGTTTTGTGACGTCATTGACGAAAGAATAAGAACAATAAGCTGGAGCTCGGACAGCCTTGTTTTAGACCTACGCCCGAAATCAAACCACCCGGATGTTTCATTTTATATCGTACGCAACATTTTACCGAGGAATACATTGCCTTTAATGATAATACTAATTTTGAACTTACTTTTTCTTCAATCAATTTTTTGCCAAAGTTTAATTCTGTCAATTTTATCATACGCCTTTTTCATAATCTACAAATATGCAAAAATAGCTTCTTATTTTCAACTAAGTGTTTTCGCAATAATAGAATATAATATAAATATGCCAGTCAATTGTAGACTTCCCTTTTTGGAACCCAAAACTGCGTTTCGTTTATTTTTTCGTTTTATTTCTGCCCACTTGGGTTAATCTATTTAATAAAAATCTGTGAGTATATCTTACTCATAACATTGCTTAACGTTATACCTCTAAAGTTTTTAGGGTCATTTAAATCTCCCCCTTTAAATATAGGTGATATTATACTTTCACCCCAACATCTTGGATATTCCGCATTATTAAGCATTCTATTGAATAATTTTAGTAAATAAGGTGATATTAAATCATATGAATATTTAAAAATTTCTGCAATGAGCATATCATTACCGGGGCTTTTTCCCATTTGTTTTGTGAAAATACAGCATTTCTAATCTCTATTTCTGTGATATCATTATCGAGAAAAATCATCATGTTGATCGGGTATATTAAAAGTTTTGTTCTCTGTTCGGGTGAACCAAAAAGAGTACTAAAATGTTTCATGCAAGTCGTTTGCAGTAAGATTATTTGATACTTTGATTATTTTTTATTTTATTTTTTTTAATCACTTTTCCAAAATTGTTTTTGCGTTCTGATTTAGCCATATTTTGCTATCTTTTCGGCCTCTCTTTATAGCGTATAGCCTTTTGTGTTTTGCGTTTGTTTATTATATTTTGATTTTGCCTCAAATAGTTCCGGCGTGATTGCGCAATCATTTTTCTGCGCCGGAGGAAATTGTTTTTCGCGCTTTAGAAAATTCTTTTCTTGTATTACGACATTCATCATTAAACCATTTTGCTTTGTTTGTGCCTATTATAATTACTCTTATAATCATTATCATTATTATAATATGTTTTTTGTTTCCCCAATACGTTTATGGCACATTCTTTTATTATTTCAGTGAAAAAATTCACCGAGTCATCAATACCTGTATTCAATACATTTTCACATAGTGTAGTAAATTCTCTACTATGCGAGCGTAGTAAATTTATGAATGATTCACGCTTATCGTCCTCCCTGCATATGAAGTAAAGTATATGTGTGATGTGTATTACTCAATAAAATCAATAAAACAAGGCAATGCTCCACAGAAATCATCAACACTTACAAAAGTCATTTTCTATATTTCAGTATGTACATGAAAGGTATGGTATGACAGGAAAGGTATAATTATTTTTCTTAATGTATGTAATATATCAGAGAGGTATAATTGTTATTCATATACATGTATATAAATGGCAGGCCACAATACTAACTTGCATTAGGTTTTTCTTATAGAAGTCAAGTGGTCCTTCATCTTTTTGCATTTTTTACACATTTTCAACTTCAGATTTAGAAAAAAATAAACTTAAAATTGGTGACAGAGAATTATTATTAACTGAGGAAAAAAACAGACATGTTTAGATATATACTTTCATATTTATAATTAAATCAGAAATTAAGGAGAGCAAGTCAGTAGGGTTTCTTTTGTAATAATAATTACCTTTATCTATAGAATAACATTTTTAATACAAGAGGGCCATGATGGCCCTGAGGTCGCTCACCTGTATAAAGGCCCCCCGGAGTGGGGCCAGTTTAAACCCCCAGGGCTTTTATTTGAACAAACTTGGAAGACACCCATTAGAAGATGTTTCATGATGTTATTTTACTACACACATATAATGAAAAACAATGACCCCCCCCCCCCCCCCCCCCGACAGTTCCAATTTTAACCCAAGGGTTTTTATTTGAACAAACTTGGTAGACATCCATATACACGTATAGTTAAAAACAATGACACCCCTGGGGCTGGGCCAGTTTTGACCCCAGGGCTTTTATTTGAATAAACTTTGTAGACACTTACTAGAAGATGTTTCATGCTTAATATCTAAGC